ATCCCAGGCTCGTGGGATCAAGCCCCGCGTCCGGCTCCACGCGCCGAGCCTGGAGTCTGCATAGAATTCTCTCTCCCTTTCTCTGCCCCTCCCATGCTTGTGCTCTCTCTTTCTCTCAAAAAATAAACAAATAACAAAAAGGTAACCATTTGAAGTGTACAGTCCAGGGGCACTAAGTACATTCACACTGTAGTGCAAGTGTCATCATCCTTTCTAGAACTTTCCCATCAAGCCCCATGTGCATTAAATGGGTCGTTGCTAGTCTGCCTCCACCTACACCCTGGCAACGACCGATCTGCTGTCTGTCTCTGTGGATTCGCCCATTCTGGACATTTCTTATAAATAGAATCATATGACGAGGAGTCTTTTGTGTTTCTGGCTCCTTAGCCAGCCTTTTCCAGGTTCATCCACCTCGTAGCAGGTGGTAGTACATCCGTCCTTCAGAAGGCTGAACTATACTCCGCCATGTGGCCCTCCGGTCTTTCCTCACCACTGGGCTTTACCGCCGAGCGGTCTTGCTCTTCCTCGCTCCCAAGAGGGGCAAGACTCCCCGGGAGGCTCTGGACTCAGGGATGCACCCAGAGAGGAGCAGAACCTTCCATCACAAATTCAAGATCGCTGCTCCTTAAGTGCCGCCCGTGTACCGGGTCCCCTGGGCTAGAACAGCGAAGCCTCTGTGGCAAGAACGTCCCCGTGGATCCAAGCCCAGCTGTGAGACCCAGGGTGAGTACAACCACCCACCTCGGCCTCAGGCCTCACATCTGTAAAATGGCTCTAATAGTCATATCTCCATCAGGAGGATTCAGTACAATGGCATCTGTGATGAGGCCAAGGTTGGGCGTGAGAGCATCGCCCAGTGAGTGATTCTGTGGCCAGTGGCCACCCCCCTATCTGACTGTTGTCCTTAAGCGGAATGGCATCATCCTTCAAGGCCATATCCTGGCTGTCAAGGAATGGGCGTAGGGGCCAGGCTGGCCTTGAGAGCCCAGGAAGCAGCCTGGCACGTAGCCCCAGACCAGCCCGGTCTTCACCCCTTCTCTTTATGAGTGAACGTCAGCTGCGGTATCTCTGCGCCGCTGCTGAGTGCTTGTGCTGTCCGTGTGTAAACTAGCTACATCTAAAACGGGGTCATCTTTCCGCCCTGCTTAGGACACCAGAGGCGGGTTATCTTGTTCTGGCCCCAGCCTGCCCGACAGCCCGTCCCGCTCAGAGACACAGAGCCTTATCCCCTGGCTCTGAGCCGGTCGAGAGAGGCAGCCAGGTTCCCCCCAGGGCATTCCAGGAAGTAGGCGGACAGGAGAGAGGCAGGACCTGGAACCAGACTCTAGAGCTCTTCACTTATCTGGGTCCTGGGTCTGGACGACTTCAGTTCTAAAGAAGGAAATCCGGATTAAGCGGGCTTAAGTCAGTTCAGTGAATCACAGTGGGGTCTCTATGTCAGGCACGGGACTGGTGTTTGTGGTTCATCAGCAGACAAACCTGAGACCCACCCCCCGAAAGCCAGGTGTTGAACAGAAAGGACAAGAAATAAATTACACGGTGCGTCATCGCGTGAAACAGGCTGCGGAAAGAAAAGAGAAAGCAGAGACAGGGAAGTGGCATGAGAAACGCTGAAGGTGGGGGCAGGCCGTGCAGCTGACTGAGTGGTGGGGGGAGCGGGGCGGGCGGAGTGAAGGAGGCAGGAGGCGACATCGGAGCAAAGACGTGAAGGTGGGATGCCCACACAGCGCGAGTCCAGGGGAAGAGAGTTGCAGGCAGAGCCACCAGCCAGGGCGAAGGCCCAGAGCAAGGAGTGAGGGCCCGCGAGGCCCATGTGACCAGGCTGACTGAGCCTGTGGGGGAGGCATCCAGAGAGAACCGGATGGAGACCAGATGGGATGGGGCCGTGGGTCCCCATCCAAACTTTGGCCTTTGCTCTGAGCAAGACGGGAGCCACTGCAGTTTGGAGCCAAAGACAAACGTGATTTGACTGATGTTTTGTTTAAGCAAAGAGGGAAACTCCTAGACATCCAGGCCCCGGGTGAGTCAGAGGTTGGGACCTTGTTGCCTCTAGAATACAGGCTCCCTCCACGTGGGCGGCGTGGGGGATAGTCCCAGGCCACTGCGGTCCCGGGGCTCAGCCCTAGAGCCAACGGGGGTCCTCCGAGTGGGGTCAGACTATAAACTCTCAGGGAAGGTCTCTGATTGGCTCTGCCAGATGCCAGGAACATTGTGATTGGCTTCCCTGGGTCACACGGCCCTCCCCCATCCCCAGGAAGGGGAGGGCTCGGATTGGCTGCCCCACCGGCATTAGGGCCCCTGAAGGGAAAGCTGTGATTTCCCAGAAGAAGGTAGGAGGGAGAGGTGAGCTGGCCTGGCAGACAAAGCGACGGCCCTTCCTGGAATTGCTCATCCTGAGAGGAGTTCTGGGGGTCCCCCCGGAGCAGGGGCGTGGGGCGGGGGAGGGGAAGCCTCTGCCTCCTGCAGAGCCCTCGGAAAGCGGAAAGCTCTGGCTCGCCGTGCGTCTGCACAGCCCAGCACCTCTTCCTCCGACCACCTACCGCATTCCACAAACCCCGCTTCTCAAGGGTGCGAAGTGGGTGGTTGAGGCCAGCTGGGCCGACTACGGTGCAGATCTGACTTCAATCGCCTGAGCCACGGTTCTCACGGCGTTTCGCCCTCCCCCGGCTGACCACACTCGCGGGGTCAGGAGCCAGCGGCAGAGGTGGGGCCCCTTCCTCCTCTCCCTTAAGCTCCTCTGAAGTCACAGACAATTAAACAGCCCAAGAGCTGGGTCTCTGATCCTCAGGAAATGCCGAGGAGGGTGAGCTGGAAGAAGCCACATGGCGGCTCAGAGAAAGCAGCTCGTCCTTGCTTACTCTGACCGGAGAACTCGTGTGCGCGCGCACGTGCGCGTGTGTTAACGCAGTAAAATCACAACTTAAGGTACATCTCAGTGATTTCTTGCGTCTAGATTCGCCTACATTCCGTATCCACTGCCCAGCGGTGATATAAACACATTTCTGATCCCCAGGGCGCTTCCTCCAGGACGGCCCCCAGGACTTCAACTTGCTTCATTTTTTTTTTTTTTTTTTCCATGCAGGCCCTGCTTTATTTCATGTGAGCCTCGCGGTCAGGCCCACAGAGCACCCCCCCATCGCCACCCGGCTGCACCCACCATCTCCATTTGGCCCACCTCCCGCAAGGCAGGGGGCACTTCTTTTAACAGGCAGAGCACCGGAGCTCAGAGGCTCAGAGAGGCATCACCACCCTCACCACCACCACCACTGAGAACCAAACCGCGGCTTCCCCTGGCTGAGGGAGGCTATAGGGAAATTCTTGGCCAGAAATCAGAGGAGACCGCCTGCCAGGCCCTGGCTCTGCTGGTTCGTTCCTGCAGACGTTGAGGAAAAGATTCCTACCGTGAAGTCACCAGTCCGAAGGGCTTCCCCACAATGTCCCTCTTATTTTGGGCGCCGGGTAGCGGTGGGGGAGGATCCAGCCTGTGCCCACGCTGGTCTTTCCTAGCCTCTGAGGGTGAGGTTTCCGTCTTGTTTCAGGAGACCCCGCAGGATGAAGCTCCCCGCCAGGTCCCAGGCAGGGCGGGCGCCCGGGGTCCAGGCTGTGTCTGGTCCACGATCCCGGGGGTGGGGTGGGGTGCAGACATCAGAGCCCAGAGCCGCAGCTGAGCTTTGTGAGAGGGAAGACCGCTGCCTCTGGTGGCTTCTCCCACCCAGGGGGCGAGCCCGGCAGGCGTCCTGTGTTCTCAGAAACGTCAGCCAGGAGCAGGCTTGCACGATTCCTTCAAACGTCCAGGCAGAGAGAGAGTATAATCCAGGACATCCAGTGCTTTCCCTGTCCCGTCCCTGAGCGTGACTTATCATTTGTCTCGTGGGTCTGGGACAAACCTGGCTGGCAGCCCCATATCCCAGAAACATGGGTGTCCCCTTACAAGCACAGATTTTATCCAGATAAAGGAGGGCTTGGCACATGGCAAACGGACAAGCAGTCCTTTCCCCCCTCCCCCCAGCAGCAAGCACAGGGGCTTCCAAGAGCCACCCTCCTGGCAAGCCAAGCATTACCCCATTTGGAGGAGGAGGAAACTGAGGCTCACAAGCTCCTATAGATGAGGGCTTACAGTGTGCCCGGTGTTTAATAATTGGACACGGCTCCCTTGACTTCTCTCAACTGCTGGGCAGAACGACTATCGAGATTTTTGACAGTCGGAGACAAGGAATCAGAGAAGGAAACAGCTCGCCCTGGGCCACACAGCTGTGGACACCAAGGGTTGGCTTTGGGATTCAGCGTTGGGCGAGTCTGGCCCCAGAGCACAAGACCAGTGTCTCTGCCCTTTGGCCAGTCTCCCTCTGGGTCTCTGCTGCTTTGGGGCACAGCCCAGACGGACGGACACTGCGGTCCCTCTGGGCGGGCGCAAGGGTGGAGCAGGCACAGGAGACTGGAGTTTTCCTCCCTCCACCTCCCCCCCCCCCCCCCCCCCCAGCAAAACTGAAGTGAAAAGTCTGTCTGAAGTCCGACTCTCCATCTCAGCTCAGGTCGTGGGATGGAGCCGCGCGTCGGGCTCTGAGCTGACAGTGTGGAGTTGGGATTCTCTCTAGGGATTCTGCTTGGGATTCTCTCTCCCTCTCTCTCTGCCCCTCCCCTACTCACTCTCTCTCTCCCTCAAAATAAATAAATGAATTAAAAAAAAAAAAAAAGCACAGTCACATCAAGGTGGGTATAGCTGTGGTTCAAACATCCAGGCTGAGAGTTGTGGGGACAGAGGGCTCACCTGCCCAGACCCGTAGGGACCCGGGCACAGATACCAGAGATGTCTGCCACCCGCGGATATCCCGCCAGGTGCCGGGCTTTGTTACAGCCCCAGCAGGGCAGGCGCCACTGCACGCCCCCATTCTACAGAGGCGGAGACAGACTTGGGACCGTGTTTAAGGACCCGCGGGGGGGGGCGGGAGGCTGGACAGGGGACCGGCTCGGCCCTCCGCCTCTCCCAGCATCTGGGGGCAGAACTTTCTCCTGCGCTGAGAGTGGGCGTGTGCTCAGCACAGACAGGCCTCCCGGCAGGCTCTCCCCGCCTCCTCCTCCCCCCCCCCCCCGCTCAAAGGCAGAGCCACACACGCCTGCGCTGCCGTCCCCGCCTGCCCCAGAGCTCGCGCCTGCCCTGCCCACGGAGATGTCTGCCCCTGTCCTGGCGCTGGCCAGCGGCCAGGCGCTGCCAGCCTTCCTGCTCTGCAGCACGCTGCTGGTCATCAAGATGTACGTGGTGGCTGTCATCACGGGCCAAGTGAGGCTGCGGAAGAAGGTACGTTCCCCTGGAGCCCCTTCCCCCCCAGCCCCTGCGTGCGCTCTCTCGCTGCCCGGGAAGGTGCGGGGACGGGACGCTTGGCCGAGGCGTCTCCGGGGCCAGAAGGTGAGGGCAGGTGACCCTCTGAGTCCTGTGGGATGGCAGGGATGGAAGGAGGGAAACCGAGAGTGGCCTCTCCCCGGGGCTGTCCCCTCGAGGCTCCTTCTTGTCCTCAGTTTTAAGAGCGTTCACTCCCTCGCTGCTGCCACCAGGTAAGTTCTGGCCCAAAGAGCAGCAGGTCCCGGAGGGTGGAACGAGACAGCAGGAAGCCTCGCGGAGACCTGGCACCGGAGGTCTGATACGTGGGTGGAGCGGGAACTGGGGACACAGGAACCCCAGGAACTTTCAAGTGGAAATTCCCAACGCAGTGGCCGGGTGGCTTAGCAACCGGGGCTCGGCCGCGCCCCCCTGGAATTCTCAAGGAGGCACTTCCTCGCCGCTGATCCCGCATCCCCAGGGCCAAAACAGCAAGGACAGGCTGAGCTCTGAGCCTGGGTGGGCGGGTGGGCGGGACGGCCCACTGAGAACAGCCCTGCTCGCATTGGACGCCTGCGTCAGAGGAGTTTGGGGCCAAGCTGGCCAGCTGGCCTGATTTTCAGAGGAATCGTTTCCAGAAGCTGTGTCCCCTCCCCACCCCCCACCCCCCCCCCACCCCTCTGTGTGCAGTTCAAAGGCAAGGCAAGGTTAGCTCTGGCATCACACCAGGGGGGAGTCAGACTCAGCCCCTTGGCCTTCGGTGCCAGCAGGGGTGAAGGTGGGGCAGCTTTAACGCCCAGAGGCACCCACACCACTGCCTCCCCCCTGCCTCGCCCTCATCCTGGATGTGGGACTCGGGAACCCAGCAGGGCCGGGTGCGGTCACGCGCTGAGTCCTTCCGTGGAGCTGAGCGTTTGGCAGGTGGGGGCCACATTCGTCTGTCTTCCAGGTGAGGACCCCGGGCTGAGAGGAGACGTGTGCGGTCTCAGCGGGGTTCTAACAGGGTGTCCGGCTCCACAGCTTGTCCTGGGGGTGGGAGGGGACGGGGATAGACCCCTCAACAGCAAGGTGCAGGCGTCCAGCTCCTCCCCCTTCACTGTGAATTCAGGGATGGAAGGAGGGAAACCGAGAGTGGCCTCTCCCCAGGGCTGTCCCCTCGAGGCTCCTGACGGTCCCAGTGTGAGCTTCCCTCCCATTTCTACTCCGGGATTCATGGCCAGGTGACAGACGTGGCCTCTGGCTCCTCTGCCCACCGGCTTTGGACCTGGGGCAAGTCCGGAAGCTGTTTCCTCATCGGTCAGGCTAGAGCCCGGGGAGCTCAGCACCTGGCACGGAGCTCGCTCCCAGTACTTGTGAACAGCTGGAATTAACTCGAAGGCAGCAGCCACAGCTCATTCTTGGGAGCGCATCCAAAGGCCTGTCCCTCGTCCCAGTGAAAGGTAACACTCGGGCTTCCGACCACAGGGGCTCCTCAGCCTGCACTACAACTGGCTCCCTGCCGGGCGGGCTGGTGTCCCAGGTCTGTCGTTCCGAGTGAGCCACCTCTCGGAGCCAGGACTAAGACCCTCTGAAGGGAGCCGTGGATCCACGGATCTGTGCCGGACCCTCAAACTTGGTGATTCCCTGAGTGCAGGGCGAGTGGAGGGGAATTCCGGGTGTGGGGACCCTGACCATGATCAGGCATGGGCCTCAGGGCTGGGGCAGGGGGAACACAGCAGCGCTTGGGGACCAGTGTCACCAGGGCTCAGGAGTCTGATGAGTTTCATGATTGCCATTGGATGAGCAATCTCGAAAGTGTGCTGCTGAGATCTGCGGTGGGGGGTGGGGTAGTTTGGTGAGCGCTGGGCGGGGGCCTCCTGTGACCCGAAGCGTGACCTGAGTGTCTGCTGTCTGCCCGCCTATTCATGGAGCACCTTCCCGATGCCGTCCCCTCCCAGTGCTGGGCATGGGGCGGAAGCCTCTCCAGTTCTCTCCTGCACCCTTCATGTGGGAAATGAGCTCCATTTGATCCAGAGTTCACAGATGAGGGGGCTGAGGCTCAGGGACATGAAGAAATGGACAATTAGTCTGCGTGGAGCTTCGAACCCTCTCATCGCTCTTAGTTCAAAGTCCAAAGTCTTAAGTGCCTCCCGGACCCCCAGCAACTTCATCTTGGGCCTCTGTCCCTCACTCTCTCTACTCCAGCCATGCCAGTTTTCTGTTCTTCAAAAACATCCCCATTTTCTTCTGACCCCAGGGCCTTTGCACGTGCTTTCCCGTATATCTTCAATGCTATTTCTCCAGCCCACCCTCCGTCTGGTTAATACTGTTGCCTCCTTCAAACCTCAGCTTGAATGCCCCTGCCTCGGAGAAGCCTTCTCTGACCCCCCAGACTTGGTGAGGGCTCCTGCGAAGATTCTCAAGGCCAACCTTGTCTTCTCTCTTTTTTTTTTTTTAACACTCACCACCCAGCCTTCCCTGGCTCATTGGCAATTTCCCCATCAGACTGAGCTTCCCGAAAGCCAGTCTGTTCTGGCTGCCACAACAGTGTACCATGGACTGAGGGGGGTGGGCGGGGAGGGAGGGCTTACAAACAGCAGACTTCTTTCTCACCGTTCTGGAAGCCCAAGACCAAGGTGCCTGGAGATTCCGTGCCTGGTGAGGGCCCACTTCCCGGTTCACAGATGGCCGTCTTCTGGCTGTGCCCTCCAGGGCAGAAGGAGCTCTCTGGGGTCCGGTTTCTAAAAGCACTAATCCCATTCACAAGGGCGCCCCCTCACGACCTAATCACCCCCAAAGGACCCCCTCCTAACAGCACCACCTTAGAGGTTCACTCTCAGCCTATGAATTTGCAGGGCGCACAGTCAGTCCGTAGCAGCCTTGGCCACGGGGACAGCCAGCACCTGCCAGTGGGGAACTAGGCCACTGACTGTCGTTGATGTATTCCAGGCGTTTGCCAACCCTGAGGACGCCCTGAGACACGGAGGCCCCCAGTACTGCCGGAGCAACCAGGATGTGGAGCGCTGCCTCAGGCAAGCACCTTAGGGCCCCAGCCTGGCCATGGTCTGGCCCTCCAGGCCCCGCTCGGGGCGGGGGCTGGGGGGGGGGCGATCCCCAGGGGACCGAGGTCGTCTGCCTTCTGATTCCCTCAGAGAGTTCTGATTTATTCGTTGATTTAATTTGTTTTTTTTTTTAATGTTTTTATTTGCTTTTGAGAGAGACAGAGAGAGAGAGAGCCCAAGAGGGTAGAGAGAGAGGGAGATACGGAATCCGAAGCAGCTCCGGGCTCCGAGCTGTCAGCACAGAGCCCGACGCAGGGCTTGAACCCACAAACCACGAGATCATGACCTGAGCCGCAGTCGGACGCTTCACCGACTGAGCCACTCAGGCGCCCCTCTTGACTTAGGAAAAGTAATGCATGCTCATGACTCGGGATTCTAGAGTTCGAGAAGGGTGCCCGGGGAGAACTCAGTCTCCCCTCACCTCTGACCTCCAGACCCTACCCAGCTCCACTCTCTGGGTCCAAACGCTGTCCCTTACTGGTGTCTCTGCATCTTCCCAGGGACGCGTTCCACACTTACAAGCACTGTTTTTGTAAGCATTTTTCCTTTTTGCCCCCCAAAGTGTTACACTTTACCCACTGGTCCCTTCAGAGAAAAACAGGGGTCACACCAGCTCACCGCGGGGTCTCCTTCAACTGGATCAGCGCTATAGAATTCAGGCCATTACTCTGCCCCGGTCCCCTCCACAAGGCCGTTCTGTCCTTCCCTGTAAGGAACAGAGTGCGTCAAAACCTCTCGCATCTGCCTTCATGCAGACGTGTAGGCAAAACCGCAGAATGCACTCAAGCAGGGAGGAATATTGCCGAACGGTGTACAAATCCAGTTTTACCGCTGGCGTGGGAGAGCTCTCTCCGTGTGCCTGCCCCAATCAGCATCTCCACTCTAAATTTTAAAAATTGTTTTAATGTTTATTTATTTTTGAGAGAGAGACACACACATACAGACAGAGCGTGAGTGGGGGAGGGGCAGAGAGAGAGGGAGACACAGAATCAGAAGCAGCCTCCAGGGTCCGAGCTGTCAGCACAGAGCCTGACATGGGGCTCAAACCCACGAACTGCTAGATCACAAAGCTGAGCATTCACCCTACTGAGCCCCCCAGGCGCCAGTGTCTCCACTGTAAATGTGGTATCCTGCCAGTGGAATGGGTGAAAATTTGTGTTTTGGTTTTATTTTGCATTTTTGTTCAGAGTGTAGTTGGACATCATTCCCTCTGCTGAGCAACCCCCCAGTCGGTCAAAAAGGATTTTCCTCCTTATGAAAGTCAGATTGTCAACGATTTGGGTCGCATTTTACACACACAGAGGGGAAAGGGAGACCAGGCCCGATTCTAATCCCCGCCAACCTCTAACACGCTCTTCATCCAGCTCCTCTGTAAATGTTTTCCATAAAAGTACCATGTGCATTGTATGCCCGGGGGCTTCTGATATTTCTCTTTCAGTTAACATTATTGCATGAGCATTTTCCACGTCAGTAAATGTTACTCAAAAACTGATTCTTTAAAAATAAGTGTGTAAAATGGGGCGCCCAGGTGGCTCAGTCCGCTAAGTGTCTTGACTTCGGCTCAGGTTAGTGAGTTCGAGCCCCACGTTGGGCTCCGTGCTGACGGCTCAGAGCCTGGAGCCTGCTTTGGGTTCTGCGTCTTCCTCTCTCTCTGCCCCTCCCCTGCTCACAGGCTTCCCCACTCAAAAATAAAGATAATAAAAACATTGAAAATTTTTAAAAATAGCTACGTAAAATCCCATCGGAGACCTGATGTTGATTTCAGGCCACCCATCTGAATGCTGGGTTTTTGGAAGTTGGTTCGGGGCTGGCTGACCCCTGTGGGCTGGAGAGTGAGAAGGCAGCATTTCCAGGGGACAGGGGCTGTCAGCGGAGTTGAGGGACAGGCAGGAGGCTGAGTATCTGCACGGGGAGCGGGGGAGACGGGAGACGAACCCTCCCATACTTCCCAGGGCCTTCCCTGCACCGTGGGCAGAAATGGGTGGGACACTGAAATATAAATAATAGGATTCTTTCCTTGGGAGAGAGCGCTTTTTTTTTTCTTTTTGTTTTCTTGGCCATTGAAAACGATATGCATACTTGTGGTTTTTAAAAATGACAGAGCTGTGTAAGGTAGGGAGTGAAAACCCCTCGCTGTTGCATCCTTTCTAATATAGCTAGTGTGTGTGGCTCTTCCTACGAGATCCGTCCATCCATCCATCCATCCATCCATCCGTCTGACATGTAATGAGCACTGCTATGTACGAGGCGCTGTGCTAAGCACTAGTTTTACGTTAGTGGACAAAAGCCATACCCGTACCGGAATCCATGTTGGTGACCCTTACCCCACCCTCCCCGTGGTTGGCTTGACTCTCCTGGATGGTGGGGAAGGGCCCGAGTCGTCGAGGCAGCAGGCGGCCGTGACCGTGGATGGCCTGAGCTGCTCCCGCAGCCACCAACGGGGGTGTGTGCTTAGCTTCTCGCGGGGTACACGCGCTCTACGTGGCGAAGCTTACTTGTGGCACAGGAGTGGTTACGGGAGCTTATGAGCACTTTGGTGAATTTTTACCGGCTGCCACCAAGCCAAGGAGAGATAACAGATCCGTGTGGTGCCAAAATGCTTCTGCGTGTACCCAATACAATTTCTTCTTCCGACCCAAATGACCCGCTATCTATAGCAGCGATGCTCAAATGGCTGGAATTGAATTCAGCACATTTTTTAAATGTTTATTTTTATTTTTGAGAGAGAGAGAGAGAGAGACAGTGTGAGCAGGGGAGGGGCAGAGAAGGAGGGAGACACAGAATCTGAAACAGGCTCCAGGCTCTGAGCTGTCAGCACAGAGCCTCACGCGGGGCTCGAACTTACAGACTGCGAGATCGTGACCTGAGCCGAAGTCGGACTCTTAACACACTGAGCCACCAAGCACCCCAGTTCAGCACTTTTTGAGCACTTCTTACCAAACGTTTTATATCCATCCTGCAAGTGCTTATTGGTGGAGGGAACGTGCCACGTACTGGTATTTATTGGGGACCTACCACGGCAGGTCTGGGGGTTCCCCCGGGGCTCCTCTGCCTCCTCCTGCCTTCACAGAATATTCACAGAATATCGTGGAACCGTGAAGGTGCAGGGCTCAGAGAATCACACATCCCATCGTCCCCTGCTGGAGAACTTGCTGGAACCTGAGGGGGTCATGCCTTAGGAGCAGAAATTAGTTAAATATTAGACCAGAGTTCATGGTGCAGTCAAGGTCGCCCTCCTGCACTTAAATAGGAAAGCACTTAAATCTTGGTTCTTAGAGGACCAATCGGCCTTGCAGATCAGCCACGCGCCGGAGCCGAAACGTGAGCCCGGCTCTGGGAGAAACCGGGAGCCAGATTCCCAGGGAAATGATGAAACAGGCCACCTTCTTTTATGACACCAACCCAAGCCTCCTGGTCAGGTGCCTTTGGGCCAAATCCCGAGTCTGCGTGCGGGGAAACCTCGGGGAGGGTGTATCATAGTGGCCCCAAGGGAGGAAGACAAACACTTGAGCAGTGCTTGGCAATGTTTCGATTCCTTGGAGCACGCAGCCCGAATCCGACTGAACCGGTTTGTAGGGAGATCGGTCCCCAGATCGCAGCCCTACAAGAAGTCCTTCTGGTTTTGTGGACGGCGAACCGAAGCCGAGGAGCGGGTTCGAGGCACGCAGAACCACAGGCTCCTGCCTGGCTGGCAAAACCGAGAGGGTGAGGTTAGCGTTCAAGGTCGTGTCCAGGACGAGGCTGGGGATGGCGGCGAGGAGGACAGCAGGTGCCTGGGGACGCGGCCCCTCGGCGACAGCCGTGTTCTGGGCACCCTGTAGATGGATGCCAACCCGCTGGGCCCCCCAGCCGCCTCCCCAGGAGGCTGTGTTATCTCTGGAGGCAGAGCGGGCTTGCTGAGGCCACACGGTTGAGCCCAGGCCCGCGGGCTCTGCAGGAATAGGGGCTTTGCTCCGCTTTATACCTGCCCTTGAGATTGAGCAACGGTGAAAGCTGCCTTCGAGGGCACGGCCACCGCGGCGGGGAGGCCCAGGGATGAGGCCGGACGTGCCACAGCTGTCCCGCCAGCTGCCTGGGGGCACTCACAGACCTCCCTCTCCCCACGGTCACCTGCAGTCTTGCAGCTGGTGTTGTAACGTGCGCGGAGGGGGAGGGGCGGCCCGGGCCGCAGGAAACCCAGCAAGTCCAGTCTGGCGGGGATTTGCTTTGGGTGACTTTTATGTTAAAAAGGGCTTATTATTGGAATGACACTTCTGCCCAACCGGCTCCCTGGTACGTGACTCCCTCCGCGTCTGTCGGTTCACATCCGGGCCCCCAGGGAGGGGAATGAGTTTTCTTGCCTCACCTTTGATTTCCCCACAACTCCCTGTCCTTGACACCACTTGCGGTTTGGGCTTTGTGGGGCACCCGCCCTCCCCCGCCGCTGTGGTTTGGTCCCTACCAGAGGGAGGAGGGAGGAGGGACTGGCCGGGAGGCTCCCAGTGGGGTGGGGGGGGGGGGGTTGGATGCTGAGGGTCAGAGCCTCCAAGTCTTTCTCAGCGCCCAGCCACCTCTTCTCCCTCACTGTTGACCTTGGGCCCAGAGCTGGAGATCGGGGGTGGGCTCAGGACCAGTGCGTGGTTTTCCATAAGGACTGCCCATCCCCGCCCTTCCCCACAGCTACCTGCTGTGTCCTGAGTTTGCGCTAAGAAAGATCCAGGCCCTGCTGGGCTAGCGGGAGCCTCTGTACGCTCTGATTGATTTCCAGGCCCCAAGACCCGTCTTCTGTTCTCGACCTGCCTCCCTCTTGTTCATGCCACCCCACTCCAGACACGCGGGCCACTCTTCCGGGCCTTGAACACCCTACGCTCATCTCCACCTCAGGGCCTTTGCACTTGCCTCGCCTGCTCCCTGGAAAGTTCTTCCCCTGCCCCGGTGATCCGTTCAGGCTTCAAATTTCTCCTTCTGAACACACCCCCCACCCAGGCACTGGGCCGAGACCCCTGTGGCGTTGGGCTGAGAATTAAGGCCTCCTCCCTGCCCGGCCGGCCCCATTTCCTGGGTCAGGCCGGCACACCACGGCCCTAGCCTGAGGCTCTCCTTGCAAGTGGGAGGGACGAGAAGGAATCTGCTTCAGGCCATCACGCAGGAGCTGCCGGGCCGGGCCTGGCCCAGCGCCCCTGTGGCGGCCGCAGCTTTGGTGAAACGCCTTCCAGCTGGAAGGGACTGGAGGAGATACCGGGGTTCCCGCGGAGTCCCCTCGCCTCACGCACGCAGCCTGTCCTTGACGGAGGTCACAGCCCCCCTCCTGGGTTCCTGTTTATTCTTCCAACATACCGTCTCCGGCTTCGGGCTCTGGTTCGGTCTCTAATTTGTGGGACTTGACCTTCCCGCCTCCTCCCCCGCGAAGCTGTCCGTTAGCAAGAGTCATGGAAAATGTGAACCAACTCTTAGCAGAAGGGGGTGAGTTTTCTTTCTTGGTCATGTATTTACGGCCAGGTCAGACACAGCCCTTCCACTCCCCCAGCACCACCACACGTACACACTTGATCATTTTAAACGAACAAAGGGGCGCCTGGGGGGTTCAGTCGGTTAAGCGTCCGACTTCAGCTCAGGTCACGATCTCACGGTTCATGGGTTCGAGCCCCGTGTCGGGCTCTGTGCTGACAGCTCAGAGCCTGGAGCCTGTTTCAGATTCTGTGTCTCCCTCTGTCCCTCCCCTGCTCACGCTCTGCCCCTCTCTGTCTCTCAATAATAAATAAAAACGTTAAAAAAAATTTTTTTTAAATAAACAAACAAACAAAAAGAGACAGGACAGCATCAAGGAAATGAAGAGCTTCCCCAGGGGGCCGGTGACTAGCTGGCTCCAGTGAGTAGAAATTATTCTGTTATTATGATTCCTGAAAGAGGTCGGAGGGTTTGCTGATATCTGGGGGCAGGGCAAGACGGTTAGGCCTGGGTTTCAGGCTCATAGGCTCTAGCCCCTGCCACGAGGGAGGGCCCAGGCACCTGCATTCAGGAGGAGGGTGGTCCCTGAGGCCCCCTGCCCAGGTGGTAAAGGGCATGGGTTCAACTCAGACCTAGGCTCCACTCTGGCTCTTGACCTCCCCGAGCCCCACTTTTCCCAGCCGGCGTCCCAGGCCAGAAGGGAAACGTGTGGCTGGGGCCAGGTCCTGAGGCGCCCCAGGGCTTCGTAAGAAAACCCCAGCCTGCCTGTCATGGCCACTAGCCCGTAAGTGGGGTTTTGTGTCCTCAGCTGCCACCAGGCGCCGGCTTGCCGCTGCTGTCCCCTCTACCTCGGTGGTGTCTCTTTCTCCGGGCCATGCGTGGACTCGAGTCCGGCACCCCGAGGTGGTCTCCGGTGTTGGGGGGCCCCCAGGACCCTCTCGATGCTGCTGCCTGGCTGACCGCACACTCTTGCCTTCCCAGAGCCCACCGGAATGACATGGAGACCATCTACCCCTTCCTCTTCCTGGGCTTCGTCTACTCCTTCCTGGGGCCCAACCCCTTCGTCGCCCGGATGCACTTCCTCATCTTCTTCCTGGGCCGCATGGTGCACACCGTGGCCTACCTGGGCAAGCTCCGGGCGCCCACCCGCTCCCTGGCCTACACCCTGGCCCAGCTGCCCTGCGCCTCCATGGCCCTCCAGATCGTCTGGGAAGCAGCGCGCCACCTGTGACCAGCGGCTGCCAAGGGCTCAGCGGGCATGAGCCACTGTGACTGTGCCTGGGGGGGCCGGGCGTCCCCTCCAGATCGTGCTTGCCCCGGGAACCTGGTTTCTTGGCGACCTGCTGAGCTCGGGGTCCCGGGCACCGTGGGCACATGTGTGTGCACACGCACGTGGGCGCGCGTGCCTCGTGGATTTCGGGGTGAAGTGACTGCCTGGACCATGTAGCGACGGTTCTTGAAACTGACAGAACATCCTTCCGCTCAAACACCAGCGCAGGAAAAGCCACATTCCTTCTTCGTCCCTGAGAGTGAGGGAGACCCAGTTCAGGTTCCTAAAGAAAATGAGCGTCTGGATGCAGGGCTGTACTAAATGCAAACTTTGAAGACCCCCCCCCCTTCCCGAGATTCCAATTCAGCTAGTTTAGAGGGGAACCCTAGGCATCTACATTTTTATAAAGGTCCCCCGTATCCCAACGATGGCCGGGCCCGGAGCCACACTGCCAAGTCCCCTCAAGAAGCAGGACCCCGGACGGGGTGGGGTGTGATGTTGCAACTTCTTTTGTGGTGGGAGTTTGGCGAGGTGGGGGTGGGATTCCATTCCTTGGAGCCTGTTGACACTCCCCGTGCTCAGTCTTCATTCCTCTGCTGGATCCTCCCCCACCACGTGCAGGTGCCGAGGAGGGGCCCACAGTGAGGGTCGCTGCTCTTCCAAAGCAGTTAGTCTCTCCTAAGGGCCATAGAGCAGGGAGAATGGGCCTTGAATGACGAACCACTAAAAGGAACTGTCTGGCTCCTTCAGTATCTGCAAGATTTGAAAACCACAAATGTGCACCCCTGTGTGTCTCCTAGACTCTTGTTCTAAGATGTGTGTGGCTTTAATCATTAAATGGAAGGGTCTGTCCGGCTCAGCCCACACCCCCTGCAAACCCTTGGCTCCCCGTGCCTGGCGTCTGTCACTGCCCGAGAGGGTCATTTTCGCTGGACATTTTTGTTGGTGTGTGTCTGGGACCAAACGGCCAGGAGAGCATCTCCAGAAAACTCACAAACGCCCCCCACGCGGCCAGCAGGCAAGGTGCCCTGACAGCCTCCCGGCCCCTCCCACGGGTCAGTGAGATGGTCTATCAGCTCCGTCTTTCACAGGTGAGGACACCGAGGCTCCAGGAGGGGGCCCCTGACGCCCAGGGCCAGCCCTGAACCTGGAGCGTCAGCTGCAAGCCCTGCTCTGACCACTGTCCCTACTGCCTCCCTTCTCCTCACCCCCTCTCAGCGCTGCCCGTTTACTCCGGGCGCTGGAGAAGCCCCTGGGCAGGTCTCCCTCCCGACAGCCCGACGCCCCTGAACTGCCCTTGTGGATGGATGCGCCTGCTGGGTGGGGCTTCATGGGGACTCACAGGACCCCTGGCCTCGCGAGGAACCCAGCTTCCCGTCATCCCTGGGGTTCCGCGGGAGCTCCGAGCCGGGAGCGGGCAGCACTGCCCTCTGGTGGTGAGATGAGGTTCTAGCCGCACATCTGGACGGGGAAGGGCACGTCCCAGACAGAGAGCGTGCTGGGCGCTAAGGGCCGGTGGGCGCGGTACTTCCCATCTTTTCTCACTCAGTCCTTCATCTGATCCCAGGAGGGAGGCACTTCTGTTTGTAGATGAGGGAAGTAAGGCTCGGAGAGGAGAGGTCCCTTGCCCAGTGTCCCAGAGCTGGGGTGTGGTAAAGGCCAGGTGTGCGTGTGTGTGTGCGCGCGTGTGTGTGTGTGGTGTGTGTGTGTGTGTGTGTGTGGTGTGTGTGTGTGTGAGTGAGTGTGTTTATTTGTTTCAGAGAGACAGAGAGGGCACAAACTGAGGAGAGGAACAGAGGGAAAGAGAAAGATCTTAAGCGGGCTCCACCTCAGGGCACCACCGGACACAGGGCTCGATCCCACGACCCTGGGATCATAACTTGAGCCGAAATTAAGAGTTGGATGTTCAACCAACTGAGCCACCCAGGCGCCCCCCCCCCCCTCCAGTATTTTCCCTCCTGGGGAAAGAGGGGCTGAGAGGGCACATCTCAGAGCCGATGAAGAAGGCATCCCACAGCCACGGGAAGGAACCATGTGAGCCTGGATGGGGGGTGGCCCCGTGGAGCCGATGAGCCCCTGCGCAGTGCGCCCCAGTCATCCACCCCTGTGGGGCCTCCTTGGATGCCGGGTCAGGGCTGGGGGACAGCAGGGCAGCACAGCGACCACCTAGAACGCCGGCCCCCTATGGTGGGGAGGGGTGAGGCAGTGGGAGCAGAGGGAGGCCTTTAGGAGCCAGGGGGAGGCAGCAAGTTGTGCGGGAATAGAAGTGAGACAGATCTGTTTTAGGAGGATTGTCCAAGGGGAAGAAACTGGGGGGCAAAGATGAGCAGAGTTCAGCCCCCTGGGGTCCTGTGGTTGGGAGGTGGAGGAAAAGTGGGGGGAGGGGAGGGGTGGGAAGGGGCGGCAAGGGGGGAGGTGGAGGGGAGGTGGGGGAGTGAATGGAAGGGGCAGTGATGGAGGAGGATGGAGGGGAGGGGAGGGTGGGGATGAGACTGAAGGAGTCAGCAGAGTGGGGCTCATTTGAGGCTCTGGGTCCTTGTTGAGGACTTTGGAGGGGGGATCAGTATAGGTGGGTCTGCGTCTTAAAGGATCCCCGAGAAAGCCAGAAACATGGGGCTGACCACCCGGCAGTGGTCCTGGTGGCGGAGCAGAGCGGGAGGGCCCAGGGGAGAGGCAGGTGTGAGGGCAGCAGACATGCCTCCCACCTTCTGTCCCCGCCCAGGCCCCCCGGAAGCCGAGCTGGGCCTGGTTGGGGGGTGGGGGCCCGGGGGCAGCTTCTCCTGGGCTCTGAGCGAGCAGGAGAGGCTAGAGCTGGGCTGGGGGGTCCCAGAGCCCCCAGGGTCAGGGTGCTGGGCTGCAAGCTGGGACCCTCCCTGCAAAGTGTTGCCAATTTGGTCTAATGTTATAGAACATAAACCCCCAGTCCAGAGCAGCACGCGCATTCTCCGGAGAAGCGCAGGACAAGGGATGGCTGGGGGCCCCTGTCCCATGAGGGCCCCAGCCAGGAAGTGCTGGGGGTCCCTCGTCCAACGGATCTTTTGGCTCAAGGCTTCCGAAAGCTTCCCCGGGGGGTGAGGGGGACCCGGAGGAGCAGGCAAGCGTGGAGAAGGCCAAGGGGCCTGGAGGCAGGGACAGGATCTGGGGGCCCCTGCGAAAGCGGAGCCCAATTCCCGTGGGACCCACGGAGCCTGCGTGTGTGCGTGTGTGTGTGTGTGTGTGTCCGTCCCCAGGAGGCTACTGCCCTTGGGAACGGGTTTCCAGGCTGGCCAGGGCAGAAGGACCCAACCCTTCTAATTCGGAGCGGCTGGGCCTCGTCGCGCAGTCACAGCAGAGGCGGGAATCTGTCCTGCTGGTGGAGCCCAGGCAGCCTCGCCGGCAGAGGTAGCCTTCGAATCGGAACCCGAAAGGGGCAGTGTTGTTGTGTTTTTAACTGTTCATTACGTGTATGAGCACTGGTCAGTGTCAAAGGGTCAGCAACTATGGAAAAGCTCAAAGAAGAAAATAGAAACCTTCCATCCTTTCACCACACAGAAGCTGTCACCCTCTGGGGACTCTGGGACCCTTGTGTCTGCCTGTTCTCGGCTCATGGCAGCCACTTCCCAATCAGATCCCTGCATCTACCCCCGCAAGAGCAAGCTGGTATCTTCTTTATCTTCCTCAGTGAGGGGCACAGGGGGGTTTGGGTCTCTGCCGTCTCCTCCTGCGCCTGTGTCCCCAGGTCTCGGAAGGCACCTGGCTCCTAAGGTGTTTGTATTAAGTGAACACATAGTGTGTAAAATGCACGAGTCTGTGCGTGTACGCGTGTGTGTGCATGCAACAGGGATCCAGGGTCCCACGACAAAAAGTCCTTGCTCTGGGTTTCTTGAGGTGTCACAGATGTGGGTGGCGTCCGTGCTCGGGGCTCACAGTCTTGCGGCGACACGTGAGGCTGGCTCTTTTGTCATCGCTTGAGATATTCCTTAACGGTACATTTGCCCTTCCTCCCGGGGCTTTGGATGGTCAATAGCGTGACTTTTAACAACCCTCTGGTCTTCCATCACCCGGGACACAGCATCATTTATTTCATCTGCCCTACTCGCTGGATAAATCTGTTTTCCAGGCTGCGCCGGGATCAGCAATGCTTTCACCAGCACCTTCGAACATGAATCTCTGTGCACGTCCATTTCTTGAAGGTACATTTCTGGAAGTAAAATGACTGCGTGAAAGGCTTGTTGTTTTTTTGTTTTTTTTTTTAACAATTGCGGTATATAGATGGTCCTCCAAAATGATGGTCCCAATCTGGATGGGATTTTTAAGAGTTTTGTCGAGTTTTAGTGCCTGAGGAGGGAAATTTACAAGTGTATATAGAAAGGGCAGAGACCAACTAAATCCCACGTCCCTGAGAAAAATCACCGTTCAGGTTATGGTTTATTACTTTCTAGATTTTTTTTACTATGCATATTACATATATGCATATGAGATATAATAGGCATAATATATCTATGCATATTAAATACATGTGAATGTATAGGTGTGTAAATAATATGCTATAGATTAGTGTGTGTGTATCTCTCTCCTTTGGAGAGAGAGCGAGACTGTGAGGCACGTCATGTCTCTTCACCTCTGCTCCCTGGAGTGCCTGCCATGTGACCCCCCCACGTGACAAGGGCTGCTCCTAGAGGGAGGACCAGCCAAGAAGACTCCAAGCTTTTCAAGTTCAAAGCCCGAGCTTGGAAAATAATAGGGGTTTTCTTTCTGTCTCCAAATATAAAAGTATGACACTGAATTGTTCCTTTTCAAGCTTCACACAACCTCCCAGCCATGCAGAGGTACCCACTGACTGTCTAGAACTTGACTTTGGTTTTTAAAAAGCTGACACTGCGGGGGCGCCTGGGCAGCTCAGTCGGTTGAGCATCTGACTCTGGATTTTGGCTCAGGCTGTGAGCCCCGGGGTCGTGGGATTGAGCCCGTTGGGCTCCGTGCTGAGTGTAGAACCGGCTTGAGATTTTCTCTCTCTCTCCCTCTACCCCTCTCCCCTGCTCACACTCTGTCTCTCTCTTTTAAAAAAAAAAAAAAAAAGTTGACACTACATCTTAACCCTTGTTGGAATGCATTTTCACGGCCACAAGGGAGCAGCCAGAGGAAGGAGCGAGTCAGGGAAAAGGACCTGCCCAGAGGGATTGTCTGGAGTGTGGGGCAGGGGACATGGAGGCTTTAAGGCTGGATGGGGAGCACGGTGCTAGGTGATGGAGCCCCAAACCCCTGGCCTGGGTGATGGAACATTGCTGAGGGAGACCTCGGGAGCCACAGGAGGCTTTAGACAGAGGAGGCACATGATCAGGGCTGGGTTTTAGGGCAAGAAATTGCTCAGCTTGTACAGAATGGCCCGGAAGGAGGGAAGATGACAGATGATCTGAGCAAAGGCTTCACGTCTCCTCCTCTGCGGCGGGTCTGGGGCTCTTGGATGTGCCACGGGCAGAGGGAGGCCAAGCTCCAGGTGGACATCCAAGCTGTGGTCCCGTCTGTGCTACGTAACAAGTGGCCACAAACGTAGCAGCAGCTTAAAGCCACACCCATGCACCGTCTTATGGTCTCTGTAGGTCAAGTGTTGGGGCACAGCTTAACGGGGTCCTCTGCCAGGGGTCTCACGAGGCTGCAGTCAGAGAGGCCTTCGGGCTGGGGTGACTTCTGGAACCCGGAGTCCTCTTTTAAACCACATTCGGAGTATATGCAGAATTGAATTCCTTGCAGCTGGTTGGGAAGCCTGAGGCCCCCCGATGCTGGGAGCCACCCTCCAAAGTTCACAACAGGGCTCTTCGGGGATACGGCCAGGAGGAAAGAGAGCATCTCCCCGCTTTGCACCCCTTCTTACAGGGAAGTTCTCAGTAGTCTCTTTTA